TAGCCCAGCTGCTCCATAGCTTTCCATTTAAGTCGGAATCTGACATGCTTTAACTCAGCGTTTCTTTCATGACACATGGTATGTATTACGTACTCTTTGGAAATGAAAGATGGGAGAAATCTCACAATCTCTTTCAAAAAGCATTTTCAGAGACTGAAGCGCTGAGGTAAGCATTCCCCCAAAGATTTCCTTGAAAGAGTACAATGTGGAAGCATGAAGAAATCCGGCTGACTACAAAATCTGGCAAGAAACAGAAAAGATCCTTTTTTCATATGGACAATTTCAGAATCTGTCATTCACATCCCAGAAACGCCATGCCCTTGGGCACAGCCTTTGCCATGGCCATAGCTCAGCCCATCCCTGCTCAGACCTGGAATCATGCAGGCAGTGGTTTTTATTCCTAAGGAATACAATGGATCAATTTCTAGACATCTATCACAGAAAAGAGAAGATGAGACTAACACTGCTGACAAGGACATCTCCTTGTCCCCCTCCTTCTACTGTTCCTTCCCTCTCATCTACAACCTCTCAGTATAAAATGGCCTGCATGCTGGAATTTATTCTTATATAAACCAGTAATCCCCACTGAAGCACTAGCAACATTATCTGAAAGAAGCATTTCATTAACATGCAGTGATTTACAGCCCAAGAACAGGCATGTGATTCAAGCGTAGCAACGTGCATCTTAGATGATTTCTTCTTCATTGTTTGCCTTCAAGCAGTCATGCTGGGACTATTTACTAAACCACTGTATTGCCTCATAGTACTGCGCTCTGGGACACACATCTTAGAGAAGCTGAAACATTCCCAAGTCTGTTTGGACACTCACCAGAATCCTTCCTGTAAAGGATGTAGATCGCTATAAAGTATTTGTTTCCCAACTCAGTGTTCGATACTGATTTGTACTTCTGTAAGAGAAAGATATTTGACAGCTGAAGTTGCTGGATGTTCATTTTCAGGTATATATCTCTCTCTTGCCTTGCTAGTTAAAGACTGAAAAAAGCAATACCATTTGTAATGCCCAAAATGTATGCCTCTTGAAACAAAATCTGGAAACTTCTCTATGGCCCCAAGGCTCTGTATACTACATCAGAGAATGATGCTGTATTTAGATGAGATCTTTAAGCCAAGTTGCATACCAGAACCACTGAAATAAGCCCCACTGAGCCTACTGACTCTGCTCCATGCCACCCCCTCCTGGGATGTCACACTGCTTTTTGGACACAAGATAAACTGGATGAAAGGCAGCTAAAACCCAAATTCTGTCAGGGTTTTTAAGCTGGCTAATTTCCCACTCTAAATAGTCCCTTGGTCACATAAACACTCAGGACAGGGAAAAATGAATGGCAAGAGTAGATGGGGCAGCTACTTCTGAGACACGACCATCGTTATCTCTGACACTGGACATTTGGACATTTGGCATTGGAGAGCAGTAGGATGTGAGACCTCAGCAGTGAGGTTAGAACTATCAGCAAAGTGCATAAAAGATCACCTACAGCTCCCAAGAATACAATACGTATAAGAGTTAGATGTGCTCCTCTCCTATCCCTGGCACTGAACTAAGGACACATAGAAGGCATCTCTGTTTGACCAGGTTTGTAGGTTGTTTGCAGGTTATCATCTTCCCCTTAAAGCAGGCTGGCTGCTGGAAGAACTGCAAGGCATTGCAACACATCTATTCACTGCAGAGGGGTCAAACCCACTACTCTCTGCTTTTGACAGTATCTGACCACAAGATACTGGCTGTTCTGGAGCATGGGGTCTCTGTTTTGAATGTGAAAACACTTGGGGAAAAAAAAAAAAAGAAAATAAAAAAGCACTGATTAACAGGAATCATATCTCTGAACTCCACTTACTGGAACTGAGCTCACCTTGAGCACTGTGTGCACAGTGTCAAAAGGATGCAAAGTTATTAGAGAGCTCCCACAGGAGGGCTGCAAAGACGGGGAAGGTCTGAGGGCAAGGAGTGTGAGGAGTGGTTGAGGTCCCTTGGTTTGTCTGTCCCAGAGAAAAGGAGTTGAGGGGAGTGCTAAGCCATTGCTAGCTTGTTTTGAAAAGAAGCACCAAACACGCCGGATAGCAGTGGAATATGGTTCCATCAAAATACCAAAGATCCATCAAAGCTCCATTGGAACACCTCAGTGGCTGAATCTGGCTTCATAACGTTAAGCTAAAGCATTCCAGAACTGCCAGCACTGAGATGACACTAGTGCTGTCTAGAGAACAAGTTTGTTTTGCGGCCAGGTTCAAGGGTCAGGCACTGAGCAAGGTTTTCATGATCACAGCTATGAGCTAAGCACCAAAATTCTATTTCCTTCCTTCTTCTGATCTATTCTGACTTAAAAAGAACCAGAATACTTTGCTATTCTGATTTTTACCATCAGACTGAGACGTGGTCAACTTGTTTAAGTACAAATAAAAAACAGGCTTACGGCTGTAAATACCTTCCAGCTTAATCTGGAAATTTATATCTTCTGTAATCTGCTACAGTTGAGCTCTAATACTGTGCTGCTAGAAGGATCGTGGCTCTCTTTTGAAGTTTCCAGTTCAGATTTGTAGGCTTATCAAGAGTTTTTCAAATTCCAAAAGAACAAGTTTGGTATCAATGCAGTCTGCTCACAGAAATCCCAAGAGTTTTAAAGCTTCTTGTACTCTATGCTTGTTGTACTCCTTGATATTCCCTTCTAGTTAGATTCTTTGGAGTTATGAAATCAATGCTTTTCCTATTACATTGATTCATACGTGGTTAACACTGAATTCATGGAAAATCAGTTAACACATAAACTCAAAGTCAACTCCAGAATTAAGGGACTTGCTCCAGTTCAGTATCTTCAATAACTTTCCTTCCCAAAACAAGCACAAACACATTGTTCAGTTCAAATCCCAAAGCAGGCCATGTAAACAGATTGGCTTTGCTTTATTCCCTGGAGTTTAAGAGAAAGGAGGCTCTTTCAGATCTGTGGTGACTTCCCATCATGATCATGGTTACTGGAGAACAGCCTTCCACCCTGACATTTAATTCTGAAATCTGATGTACTTAGATCATAACATAATCACCTCCTCCTCCTCCCTGGCTACTCCAGCTAAACCTCTCCCTTTTACTCATCTCATTAGTAACCAACATTGTGTTTACAAAGCAATAGTAAACAGTTATCCATTGTCAAGGCAGAAAAATTATTATTAAAAAAATAATAATACAGGGTGATAGTTTCATCCACTGGTCTTAAAAAAAACAGATAAGAACATTTGAAGCTGTGGTAATAATTTCCCTATGGGTAGAACTCCTACTGAACTTGGTGGCACAAGGTGACCGCTGTTCAAGCAGAGTGCAATTCAGTGCCAACTGAATGGCCCATAAAAGGAAAATATCTGAGATCTGCAGGCTTCCTCAAGTTGTGCACAGAGGCCAAACAATTTCTCAATCTGCTCTACAGATATTCCTGCTTCTCCCTGAAAGCACAATTCCACATCTGCTAAGTGACGATGTCATATTCTAATTCATTATCCATCGATTTGGCATATATTGAAATGCTGGAAACTAATTAACTTCGGCAGTCAGTGCCATGCAAACTATTTTGGCCAATGAGTACAAGTCTGGTTGCAGCCTTGAGGGGAACATTCAAAAAGTTAGTCAGCTCAGCCTTTAAGGAAGCTTGACACGCTTTTTCCCGCATTTTGTTGGCCTAGGCCATAGACATTCCCAAAATTTTGTTCATGACTGCAGCTCATCTGCTATGTGTATCTAAATGGATATTAACCGTCTTGAACTCCATCGGTGTCTGACTGCTTGGCTACGGTCTTGGACGCAGTCTGCTCCCGAATCCAAGAGCTGCTGATGGAAGACAATTGTGGTACTATTTTTTTTTACTTCTCCATGTTTAAGCACACACGCTTTGCACCTACCATCTGACAGCTCCTACTATGGGTTCAGTCTGTTCCACCAACATAATCTGCTGAATGAAGTGAGTCCGTACACCTCGCTCAGGATCCATATGAGATTCTTTCCTTTAGATGCTACGTGAAGAAGGATCACTCAAGAAATGAAGTTTCTATACTCCCTGTAAAGGAAGAGACAGAGCTTTTTCTACTTCAAACTTATAATCATGGGAATCTACCCCACTTTTTTTGCATTAAAAAGCTACTCCGTGAGGTCTCCTTAGAGAATGAGTGCCCATTGGCTATGACAGCAAACATCTGCAAAGATAATTCACATCAGCCCACATTTTCTGGCTTCTCTAAGCTGATTTCCATGTGTACTGAAGCTCTGCTCCTCTACCTCTGTGCTGTGCAAGTACAGTTAGAATCACAGAATTGTTAAGGTTGGAAAAGACCTCTAGGATACTCAAGCCCAACCTACCCCCCATGCCCAATGTCCACATCCCTCCGTGCCACATCTCCACAGCTCTGGGACAGCCCCAGGGATGGTGAGCCCCCACTCCATGGGCAGCTGTGCCACTGCCTGACTGCTCTCTGGAGAAGGAATGCTTCCTCATGCCCAACCTGCAGTTGCAGATCTAGTCATAGGTGGGGCTTTTTTAACAGACGGAAATGGAGGTTAATCATCAGACTAGAGCTTTAATCTGAGTCACCAAACATACATTATAGCCAGAGAAAAGACTTGAAATAAAAATCAGAGGCCTTAAACACTTAACCACAGAATCACAGGATTGCAGGGGTTGGAAGGGACCTGTAGAGATCATCGAGACCAACACCCATCTGGTTGGCTTGGTTATAGACTATTCATCTTGTGTTGCCCCATTCCAAATGTATCAGCCTCTGAGCACTTTTATGCTCATGGGAGATTTATATAGTGAAGGGTTCATAAAGCAACTGTGCTCCTCTGATTGATGAGAGAGGGCAGCCACCCCCACCATCCTGTGGACCCAAGATGGCGGGCTGCCCCCAAGTAAGCAGGCTGCCCCCAAGATGGCGGGCTGCCCCCAAGATAGTGGGCTGCCCCCAAGATGGCAGGCTGTCCCAAGATGGCAGGCTGTCCCAAGATGGCGAGCTGCCTCTGCCCCAAGGAGCACCTCTCAGTTTTCAGAGGTCTGTGTTTTCCATAAGTTGTTTTCTTATAACGCAGCACTTCCGTCAGCAATGGGTTATTTGTCACCAAGCGCTGACGTCTTTTGCCACTGCCCAGTCACCTGTTCTTTATAACACAAAATTGTTTCCAGATAAAGTGGGTTAGAACAAACAAATTCATCAAAACAAGCCTGAGGACATAAAGGCCACAGGCCGAGCTACGAGCTCCCAGCCAAGAGATGAGTGAAGTCGGGCGCTGGCAGCCCGCACACCTCCGTGCCCCGCTCCCTCCGTCTTCTGCCCCGCAGCGCCCCGCAGCTGTCCGCCCGCCTCGGCGAGCCGCGCCGCGCCGCTGGAGGAGGAGGACGAACGAACCACCTTCCTTCACGTGATTTCGAGGAAGAGGAGCGGTGACACAACGGCCCGCAGCAGCTGGGGAACCTCCGGCTCCTCCTCCAGCGGGAGGGAAAGCGAAAGCAAGAAGCCGGCGGCCGCGGGAGGGAAGGGGGCAGGGAGAGGCATCCCGACGGGAGCTCCGCAGGTACCGCTGTGTGGGGCCGGGGGCTCATCTTGGAAGGGACCCCCTGCGCCACCCCTGCCCTGGGCTGGCTGCCCCCCCTGCTCAGGCTGCCCAGCGCCCACCCGTGGCCTCGGGCACCTCCAGGGCTGCGCTTTAGAGACGCTACACACAGAGCAGAAAGGCCACCACCGGTGTTTCAGGGCTGAGATGTTCAGTTGTGCCATACGCAACTCTGCTTTCGTGTGTAGTAGGGAAGGAGGCTTCACGTACCCTGTATTTATCATTGTTGCATCTAATTCCTTTTTTTTTTAGTAAATGTTGAATCATCATATGGTATTGCATTCTGAACCGTTTGCCACTAAAAGACATAACTTTGTAATTTTTTTTCCCCTCAGGTTCCAATGGATTTATCAAGCCCACTGCATTCCTTGGAAGATAATGGTTTTGTAAGTATTTCCTGATGTATTCGGTAACAGTTTCTCTGAGTGAAGATCTGTGCTTGGACTGCTGGCACAATGCTTCCAAAACCCCTGTCCCACCTCTTTCCATCCTCAGTAGGTGGGACATTCCTCATCCACCTCCTTTAATCAGACCTTCATTTCCAGGTGACGTTGCCCAGTGTGACACCTCTGCACCTTGCACTGCAGCTGGGCCTGGCCCCGGGCTTCCTTTCCTGACTGCTTTCTGCCTCCATAGGAGAGTCCCATCCCAAAGCATCTGCATTACCAATGCTGTTAGAATGTCCTCGTCCTGCTTCATCTGCTGTTTGCTTCCATGGAGGTTTCTTAGGGGGTTTCCTTTCTCCCTGTGCTTCTCTTAACCCAGTTCTTGCAGCATGGGAAGCAGTTTGGATGAAACTTTCCTTTGGATTTCTTGTGTTTTCCTGTTTGTTTTGTTGTTGCTTTCAGGTTGAAAATTGCTGCTTTAGAGCATTTTCCATAGCAAATGGGCATCCTTTCTTCTCAGCTTCCAGCTGCAGCACATGCATCATTTTGCTTTCCTGTGCTCACTCCCACGGTGAAGGAATATTTTCTGGTTCTCAGTTATACGCAGATGGGGATTTCCCTGTTGCTTAACAGGACTTTGAAACTGGACAAAGTAGTTGAAAATAATTTTTTTTTATATGTTATTGTTTTTAGGAAAAACCCAGAATTATCAAGAGAATTAACTAGATAACCTAACAGGCCTTCTCCAAGCCTGACTCTCATGGCTCACATTCAAGTTTTATGTAATCTTAAGTCAAAGGGAGGGATTGCTTCAGTAGGTCTCCTTGGATTTTTTTTCTTCTCCTTGCAGAATATTGCAGTCATAGAAACAAAACAGAACAGAGATTTTCTCTCTGCTTGGGCTTTATCCAGTTGCTGTTTCCCTGTGCTTGTGAACTGCCCTGACATACCTACAATCTGAATTTCCTTTGTTGCCTTTCTCTTGCCCGATGTTACAGTTCCTTATCTAACTGAGCTTGGACACCTCTCATTTTGTAGGTTTTTTCTCTTCAGGCTTTATACACACTCTTAGAGGAGTTGCTGAGAAAGCCTATGGATAAACCTGTGTGGGTCTGAGGTGCTCAAGTCTCAGCAGAAGAACACAGAGACCACTGGCTTTTATGGTTTATTCACAAACTAGCCTGTGAATGCTTCCAGTTGGATAGTTAGAAAGTAATGAGCACTGACCAGTTTCCATTTTCTTAGATTTTGGTCCTGTCCAGCCATGAAGGTGGTTCATTGATTTGGACTAAGTTTTTGAATTAAGAAACAATGTTATATACTATCCTCTGGCATGCAGATACTAGGAACGTTTAATTATGAAGTACTTTGATTGTTCTCTAATTGGGAAATAAAACTCAGTGTGCCTTTTCTCTACAGCATGTGATAAACCCTGACCCTTCTGATACGCCAAAAGATGAGATGGAAAGTCTTAAACAAGAACTGGAGAAATGGAAGGCAAGTTCTGTAAAGTGTGTGGAATCGTGGAAATTAGATGAAAGACACTTGGAAGAGCATTAGTCCATCCTTCTACATCTCAATCCACTCTCCCCCCATCATAACAGATGTTTGTCTAACATGCTCTCTCTCCTTTAATGCTATTTGCCTATGCTAATCTCAGTGGTGGCTACACTTGCATGTCTAAGAGAAATATTTATCCAAAACATTAAAACTAAGTACGTGTAAAGAGTTTACCTAAGGTTTTGTTTGTTCTTGTGGAGATAGAAAATCTAAAAGTCTTTTTACCATCCAGGAAAGACTTGAACAAGCTGAGAAAACAAAAGCTGACCTTCAACTTAGCAAATTAATTGCTGAGGAAGAATATGAGAAAATACAGCATGAGCTGACAGAGCTAAAGGATGCTCAAGAGGAACTTAATAAAGAAAGTGACATGTCTAAGGACGTCTATGAGGTATGGAGAAGGCTTGCTCGTGGCTGTCAGTATTGGAACTGTGAGGGAAGTACTGGTTGGAAAAGAGTAGAATTTCCATTCTAGTTGAAATAGCTTTACCAGTTTGCAGACGGTAGGGCTAATATTTTAAACACAGGTTTTCAGTGGCAGAAGGAGAACTGGTGCAATAAAATCAGTCTTACAGTAATGAGAAACTGAGACTGATCTGATGTGGAAAATGAAGACAAAAAACAGTCTTCCAAGATTCTCCTCTAACTGATATATTTCAGCTTTGTGTGACGAAGATAGAATTGAATGGGATTGAATGGGTTGCTTCCATTGCTTCATTAAATCCCAGCACCGCCTAGAGAAGGTTACAGCACCCAAAGGATTGGCATTTCTTAAGTGACAGTAAGCTGGGCAAGGGCCAGAACTGTTCTGAAGATGGCTCTTCTTTCTGGAACAAATTGGCTCATTACCTCAAAGCGCTGTGTAGTCGTCAGTACAGCAACAGAATTTTCCACAGGCTGTAAAGGAGCTGGTTTCAGTGTCATTTTGTTTAGCCTGAGAGCCTCTGATGAGCACGTTATGCTTCCATATTGCAAGCTATTAAAATATAGTTAATAGGTTAAGCATTAAAAAATAAAATGAACAGGACTTGTCTTTATTTTAGCAGGAAATATTTACTTGCAGGGAGAATAAAAACCAGAGGATAACATAGCCATGACATTCAGCTGTTTCACCTTTGCATACAGAGTTCTGTTACAGCTTCGGTTCTGCTCAAACACATGTTGTTTCTGCTTCCATTGCTCCTTACGATTATTCTGGGCCTTTCAACTGATTAGTTTGGGTTCATGGAGAAATCCTTCTTCCTTCAATTCCTTCTTCTATCAGCGGTGCTCAGTGTTCTTAGGCACAGCTATTTCTGTGTTTTATTTGTGTGAAGTATCTCATGTGTGCAAACAACTTTACCTGTGTGCAGATGATGCTGCACTCATTCAAGTTGGTGTGTGATTCTCTGGAAGTTGCTTTTGCCTCTCCAGTCCTAAATATTTGGACTTTATAGACAGCAGATGTCATTATCATCATCAGGCTTCTGTTCCACATCATCTTCAGCTGATAGGTGCTGGTATGAACGTCTCAGGTGCTTCATGACATTAAGGGAAATCTCTTCCAGTTGCATGTGGATGGAACCCACTACATCTGCAATGTTTTCATCTCTCAGTATTTTGTTCCCTGTCTGGGAAATGCTGGATTTAGTTAGAAGGCCCTTAGTGTGCCCTTACCTGCTAGAATGTCTTCACCTGGTAAACTTTTCAGAACTGGGAATAAGAGCTACGTAGATCTCGTGGTACGAAAGATGAAATGTTTGTGTTGATGTCGGTTCTGAGATGGAACTGCTGATTTATTTTGCACAGTATATGCTTGGAAACACGAATGCTCCGTTTGAAAAGTCTTACTGTAATTTGCTTTGATCAAAACTGCTCCTTGGTGAGTGGATTTGCCTTGCAGATAGTTGTGGAAAAATGCCTCATGCGTGGCTTTCGTTTATAATATTACAAAGCTGAAACACTTTCTAATGACTACAGATTTTGCTGAAACAAACTTTTATCTTTTACTTTTATCTTCTATGTGTTTAATGTTGCATTTGATCCTTTTTGGGCTGTAGACAGAACTTTCTGTGCTAAACCAAGAGAATGCTGAGCTGAAGAGAGAGATTGAGAAGCTCAAAGAAGAGCTTGCAGAATGTTGTTCAGCGCTTTCACAGGATGGTAAGGTAATGCTTGCAATATTTTACAATTATTAGTTTAGAAGGACACATTTTTAGTCAATTCTAGTCTGTTGAGGTCAGCTGTTTAGAATCATAGAATGCCCTGGGTTGCAAAGGACCACAGTGATCATCCAGTTTCAACCCCCTGCTGTGTGCAGGGTCACCAACCAGCAGGCCAGGCTGCCCAGAGCCACATCCAGCCTGGCTTTGCATTTAAGCCTCAACTGATGTCAGTATAAAGTCAGCTTGATGCTTTATTTTCTTACTTTACTTGGCAAGATAATGTGAAGACTAGGGATGTGGAAACAAATACGAGTGTGTGTGGTACTGAAGATATGAGAATAATGAAGAAAAGCAGAAAATAATTAAGTGGAAGACATTGGAGTAAAAAAATGCACATAATATTGCATTTTTCAAGTGCTTGCATTTAATATTTCTTGGGTGAGAGGATGGCAGAAGGAATGTGTCCTTTGGCAGTAGTGAGAACAGAAAGAAAACAAGCTCCTAGATAAGATACTAGTTTTGAAGATAGGTGGCAGAAATGCTTTCATTGCTCTGGCTGTTTTGTCTTGGGGTAAAGAGTATTTTCCTTTTATTTTGAAACAGTTACAAAAGGGAAAAGAGAGACATCTGAAACTCCCTGGTATTTATTAAAGTAGGTTTTCCTCACCAATGTTTTCATGAGTATTTAACCTATCCTCATTATAAAATACTTCTGTTTTACTCCAACGGTGATATGCAAGGCAATTTATTAACAGATTCACCATTGCTGTAGGACAATAATGCAAGTAAGTAAAAATAAATGATAGTGTGATGACACTGATACTTGCATTTTGCAGATTTTACTTAGCAAAAGTATTCTAATTCTACAGACCAGAACACCTGTAGGCTTCCACTGAATTTTTCCCTTGCAGGGTCGACCTCATGTTCAAAGTTAATCAAAGGAGAGAATAGAGAAAAACTAAAATAATGGGCAAAAATCGGAGGAATAGGCATCTGCAGCAAGTCAATGTGGTTAGCAGTTATACCTCTGTGACAGCTATGACTTCAGTCTGCACGGCTCTTAACCTTTAGACATATAGGCAAGGCTGTACTATTTATTTTTCTGTTATGAAATGAATTGCATAAAGTTTGTCCTCTATCTTGATTCTAAAATACTAGATTAAAAAAAAGGTGGCAGAAATGAAAGTGGAGTTCACTCACATGGAAGACACAGAGGGTGGCTTTGCAGATACAAATACCCACTGCGTTTTTTCTGTAACAACAAGAATCCCATTCAAACTGAACCAAAACCAAGCACTGCTTACTTTGGAAGATGAAGAAGGTATGATGCATATTTTAAGTATAAAATTAATGTCTCTGATGTATTTCATTACCATAATGGCTGACTCCATTATGCATGTATATTGTAGATACAAAGGTAGGATACAAAGGTTTCAATTATTCCAGCTAAAATCTAACAGTCTTAGCAGGCATTCTCTGCAGCTGGCAGTGATGTGTTTTTACCTGTGGATTTTTGAACAAAAATACCAAAAGTCTAGTATTAATGATACAGTGAGAGTATCTTTTGACAGTATCTTTTATTCTAAAGATAGCATGGTGTTTTAGCTGATGCCTATTGCTGGTGAGACTGAACAGAAGCAGATATGCCTGAAGCTGTGGGCAGTAGGATATGGTTGCCTGTCAGTTATTTCTCCTTTAACAATGTAAAAGGAGATTTTGCTTAAGAGACTGACAGACTGTCAAGTTACAGTGATTAAACAAGGCTTTTCTTACCTGCAACCTTGTGATTTTTCCTTAGTTGCCGAGAGACTGACAAAGATGGGTAAGCATACTGTGAACCTGGATGGAACTACAGCAGATGTGAAAGTGGTGCCTTTCACAGTTGGAATGGGAGTCAAATTTGAGGTAATCAACTGAAATACAAAATTATATATACACACTTGCAGTACTTATAAATCTTTAAGTTTGGTTTTGTGTGTGTTTTCTCAATCACAAAATACACACAAATTATTTCCTTAGCTCCACGTCACAATTTCTGGAAAGAAGATCAATGTTTCAGACATCCCTGAGCTACCGATTCCTGATGAGTGGATGAGAGACAAATTAGAGCTGAATTTCTACAAATCTGAACATGGAGGAGGAGAAGTAGAAAATGTAAAATATGACAAGAGGTCCAGAACAGCTGTTATTACCTTCACTAGACCTGGAGGTATTGTCTGTAATGTTTTGTTAGCTGGATATACAAGCCATGTTGTCCATTCCCTTATGTTCTGAGTTAACTTAACCAGTGAATGCAGCTAATTCTTCCCCAAGGAGAATTAAATAGATCAGGAAAAGATGTAGGTTCACCCACACATCTGTGAGTAAAGCAGTATTCATCACATTCCTTTTTGATCAAACGTGACTTGATATGCAGCTTGTCCTCTTTGTTTCTTTCTTAACTTTGTCAGAAATCCTTTTTTGCTTTGGATTGCTAGACACTTCTCTTGTGAAAATAAGGAAAACATGTTTGATTTTTAGCTCTTGTTCCATAGCAATGAACTGAGAGAAGCATTCAGATTGCCCAACTGTAGGCATTCTGGTTTAAGTGCATGAAAATCTACAGAGATTAGTGGAGCCACATCTATTTAGAACAGCTGCTTTAGATTTATTTCAGAAGCTTTTGTGGGTATTTACTGATTTTGTTTTTTGGAAATGCCAAATAAAGGTTTGTTTTGTTTTGTTTTGTTTTCAAATTGCACACGAAGAACCTGCAAATGCACTATCATATGTTTATTTCTAAATCCAAGTGAGAAAGGTTAGTCTGCTCTTTGATGTGTGTACAGAATGCATTTTAGGTTCTATTACTGTTCTTTTTCTCATTCTCCCTTGCAGCAATGGCCAGCATTGTGAGATGTGCTAGACACCCTTTCTATGTAAATGGAAGGTGCCATAGGATTTCTGTGTCCCCAAGCACTGATGGACACTTGGAAAAGCTTCAGGTAAAATACTCTAGTTCAGGATACTCCATAAGCAGATCAGATCCATAGGAAACACAAGAAATGGGCAGAACTTTCAGTCCTGAGGACTGCCTAAGTTTTCTATACTAAGTTTCACAAACTGAGTACCAGTGTGACTCTGCAACATGCTGGTAGTCTTATATTTTGTACTGTGAGAAAAAATGATTTAAAAATGGTGTGCATACCTTACGTTGACCAGATTATATCATTACATACCATAACACCTGTGCCAGGCGGGAGGCAGACACAGAACAGTTTGTGAAGCAGGTTAACAGGAGCACAGCAATATGCTTCCATGGCACAGAGCACTGTCCTCTTCAGCCCTAATGAGAGGCCGTGTTGATAATCTCAGCAGAGCGCCTTGTTGTTCTGTGGAGCAGTTGCTGATTCATTTTTTCACACAGTCGTTTGACCCAAATAATAAGTTGCTTTCCTGTGGTGCTTGTCTGCTTGCTCATGATATTCTCACTGAAATTGTCTTTGGCTTTGTATGAGTAGCTTGTAATCAAGTCAGTGCTGTGTGTATAATCAGGCCTTTATAATTAAAGCATTGACTAGAGAGAGTGCATTTATGAGATAGCATTCTTGGCGGGTGCAGTGTGTGATGGGGTTCCAAACTCTTTTTATCTTCAGTTGTAGATGGTAGTGCATTCTCCAAAATCATAACATGTAACCAAAGATCCCGACGGATGCTTGTTTCCAGTATCTCAGGTCCTTTAGGTGTACCTGCAACAGCTGCTGTGTAATACAAGTTTGTTTCTCTTCCCTCAACAGCTCTTTTCTGGTATTTCTACAAAGACCATTCTACTGAAAGGAATTAAAGAGACTGAAGATGATGAGGAAAGTGTGCAGGATATGATTGAAATTCATTTCCAGAAGCCTAGTAATGGTGGTGGGGAAACAGAGAGTATCAAATATGTATCAAAAGGAGCTGTGTGGGTTTCTTTTGAAGAGGATGCTTAGAATGCTGTATATAAAAGTGTATCTCTCTCTCAGAAGTTCTGAGCTTTTGCTTCATCAGAGGGATAAGTTACACCAATGGTTCTCATACAATTGTGCCTTAATGTTTAGAAATTGAAAAAGAGGAACTACCTTTCTGATTTGTTTAATGGCATGAACTTTGAACAGAAATTCAGTAGAACTTAATGCTGAGTGTTCCAGGTGTTCCTGATGAAAGTCATGGAGAAAGACTTCATCTGCACACATAACCTAATCTATGATTGCTTCTTGCAAATTCACAGATTTTGTATCTTGTCCATTTTCTATAGATTTACCCCACTTTAACCGATTCCATCTTCAGTTTTGTTACAGAAGCCACTCATAACCCAGTGTAAAGCACCTTCATGAATCCACAGATCTGGGGGTTTTATTGGTGTGTGCTGGCATAACTCAAATACTTGAAAGCAACATTTATGTGATTGCATCAGATAAATTACTGAATTGGTGATAAAGCTACAACAGTAGTGATATGTATTTATATCCAACATATACATGCTGGTTGTGAAAGGAGAATGCAAAAATATCACTTATCAGATTTACTTGCAACCCATGAGAAAAGACACATCACTAATACTGCTTTTAGCTGTCAAGGTGCTGGCCTTGATACTTCCTCCACCATCTAATCCAAATGGTTCTGAGCTTCTGATGAGTGAATAGTTTGATATATTGTTTTTAACTTTTTTTTTTCCTACACTGGCATTTTTGTTTCTTTGTTTTTCCGATGTAACATCTCACAGTTGTGAAATCAGATGATTGTTTAAAACAAGTTGTTTTGGAGCTGAGCTGGAGAAACAAGGTGATGGTGCACGCAAGGCCTGAGGTATTTATTTAGTGGCATGTGCCTGGCCAGACTGCCAGCTCTGGGAGGTGATGCATTAGGGGGCATTTGGAAAAAGGCACAGAGGGTTTAGGGGAAGTTTGTGGGGTTTTTCTTGCATGTAAACTTGCCCTTTTGTTTCCAGTTCTGACTCTGAAAGAGCTTTGGAATAAAACAGAAATGCAAAAGCTGAGGATTTCTCCTCCATGAGTGGGTGTTTTCTCTGCCATGATCCAATATTTGGCCTTCCAATATTGGAAAGGTGCGTATAAACAGGAGAGGGAACGGCTGTTTGTGAGGGTGGACAGCGATAGGACAAGGGGGAATGGTTTTAAACTGAGACAGGAGAGGTTTAGGTTGGATATTAGGAGGAAGTTTTTCACACACAGGGTGGTGAGGCACTGGAACAGGCTGCCCAAGGAGGCTGTGGATGCCCCATCCCTGCAGGCATTCAAGGCCAGGCTGGATGTGGCTCTGGGCAGCCTGGGCTGCTGGTTGGCGACCTGCACACAGCAGGGGGTTGGAACTGGATGAGCACTGTGCTCCTTTGCAACCCAGGCCGTTCCGTGGTTCCACGACACGTCAGGCGCTGCCTGCTGGGCGGCTGAGCGCGGGGCTGCAGCTCCGCTCGGCGTTCGGTGCGGGTAACGGCACGGAGCGCCGCTCGGCTGTGGGAGCGGGGAACGGCAGCGAGCGGGGGATCGCGAGCGTCCGTGCTTTCCCTGAACGGCGTCGGTCGGATAGGAAAGGAAAGAGAGGGAAAAACTGGGTTCAGCCCGCCAGCGACTTCAACCCCGCTGAACGGCAAGCAGCGCAGCCTCAACGGAAAGGAAAGCGTTACCGTTGTGCCGTGGTGTCCCGGAGCGGGAGGAGCGAGAAGGCTCTCAAAAGCGAGAGCGATTTTAACAGAGCTCCCGAGGTTCGTGCATCGTTCCGCTCCTCCCGGCGCTTTCAGCGTTTCCACCTCACCGCCCACCCGCCGCTCCGCCCGTGTCCTCCCCAAGCCGAGCCCTCCCTCCGCTCCCGGCGTCCCCCGGCAGGCTCCGTGCCCGGCCCGGCCCTCACCTTTCGCTTTCGTTTCTCTCCGGCCGGGCCCGGCGATCGGCAGCCGAGACGCGGGCGGTGCTCCAGAAACCGCCCGCCCTCCGGACGGCGACGCCTCGGCAAGTGTGGGGCGCGGGGTGGGGAGTGGGGGGCGCAACACGGAGGCGGCAGCGGGGTCCGACACCGCCGCGGTTGGCGGGAGCGCTGTGCGGCACAGCCGAGGGCCTGCCGAGCCTCTTGCCCTCAGGCGAGCCGCCGAGCTGCGCTGTGTGCATCCGGGCAGAACGTGCGCGACCTGAGGGCTCCGTGAGTGTCCGTGATCCGCACAGCGCAGAGCAGGGAGGCTTTGTCGGAAAAGCGTGGAAGATGGAAGCCCTGAGAGGGGCATGAAGGGTGTAAGCTGAGAGAAGCCTGAAGAACGCGGGCTGAAGGACGTTCCTCGCGTGGTCACTCCGGGGCTAGCGACAGCTCGTTGCCGCGAACACTAACCGTGCAAACGGGATCGCAGAATGGCTCGGGTTGGAAGGGACGCCAAGGATCATCGAGTCCCAACCCCCTGCCGCAGGCACGGTTGTGTTGGATCAACAAACGTGCTGAATTGTTTCCTTCCGTCCTTTCCTTCATTCCAAGCCAACAAACCATTGCAAAATCTCCTCAGAGTCCCATCATTTGTGGCGTTTTTCTGTATTTTCACTGAAATAATACTGTTTATGTAGCAGGAGTGGAAAGAAAAGATGCTTTTCCTAACAAGGCATAGATGCAAATCCTATTTAGGATGGGTTTCGTGTATTGCAGCAATGGGAGGTCTGGCTCTGATGAAAATCATGTGTGTCGTTATTTTATGCACTGCAGGTTTCAGATGGCTGGGATTACGTTCTTCCAATTTAACAAGGTTGTCCTCTGAGTAAATGGAGAGAGCTGAGTCACAGCATAACCCTTCATCCCAGCTCTTGTGAATTTAACAAGTAAGGACTGTCTGAAGCTGACCTTGACACTCTGAAAAGAGAGTCCTTGTTGAACAGTACATGCAATTAACATTTTCCATTTCCTTCAAATCTTGCATATTAGAGCAAACGATCGTACCAGCCTAACACTGGGCCTTTCATTTGGGAAGCTGTTAAATGTAGTTCTAATTTTTACTGCTTTAACAAAAGGGGATACCGAGGGTGTGGAAGCGACACTTTTTTATTGCACGGTAATGTGAAGGTGCCTGAGGGAATCTGGCACTCATTGAAATCAGAATCTGACAAAGCAATCTTAGTTATCTATGAAAGGAACAAAAGGGAGCCAGTTCAGCAGCCATGGTGGCTCTGGGTAACCTCTGTGCAGGTCACTGTTTTGACAGCATGCCATTTCTCTCTGCGCAGGACATGGGACAGGCTGCTAAATCAGCAAGGACCATCGTCATCTCTGGTGTTCCGGATGGTGTTCTGAACGATGATGTCATGAGTGACATTCTGGTGATCCATTTCCAAAAGGCAAAGAATAATGGTGGAGATGTGGAAGAAGTGAAATATCCAACAAGGGAAAAAGGAGTTGCATATATAACTTTTGAAGATCAAGAAGGTATTCACACTAATAGAGCATAGGAAACGTTCTCCCAAAAATTAGCCGTAGAACATTTACTCTAAAACAAATGATTATACATTCCTTACTGGCATTAGGATTTTATGTGCCTTTAGTCAGTCAGAGTTGTAGGATTTTATTTCTGTTCAGTGAAGTAATGACTCTGAAGAGACTTTGCACAAACTTTTGTTTGTTTCTAGAAACAAACTTAAACACTGCACAACGTGATTTTTGTAGTCAGGCCTTTGGGAACAAATCTCTGACAATTATTGTTGTAAGGAGACAGGCTTCTGTCTCTCTGAACCATTTTGACTCATGCAAATATATTAGGCAAGTGAATTGGATCACCTGTGTGTATGTATGGAAATTTTAGGGAAAGCATCAGGAGGAAAACACCCACACAGTGATGTACTGTCAGACTGGCAATAAGACATTATCCTAGTGCCAAACAAGTGAATCTGCTTTCTCTTTAGTTGTAGAGAGTGTTCTACAGAAGAATGAGCATCAACTAGAAGACAGGAGGCTGCCCAGATACTATCCTCTGAAAGTAACCCCTTACTGTGAAAATGTAAGTTCATCCTCAGTTTATCTAGTTGTGCTTCCTTAGCTATGTTAACCATTACCTAACTTCTCTAATTCACAATTCCAGGTCTTCAGCTCTGTCACAGCTGTCCTCGATATGTCTGTTTTCAAAGATAAATTTGTTTTGGAGGATCTAGTACAAGAACTTAAAAAGAAGAGCACAGCTTTGAGCTTTGGTTCTTTGCAATCCAATGGGCATATTTCTGTTCAAGGGTCATTTCCAACAATCAAATGGCTAAGAGACTTCCTTTTACTAAAAGCAAAATCCCTCTCGGAGGATAAAAATGAAGCAAGTAAGTCCCATCAGAGACCAAAGAAAAGGCTGAACAAACACACACTCACCAGAGAGGTGAATAATTTTGGTCATGATGCTGAAGGGGAAAAGCAAGTGGTTGTTCTTGACACGGATATATACCACTATATGAAGTGCTTCTTTGCCAAGGAACTCCTCGCAAATGCTGATGTTGTGATTTCTGACATCACTGATGGTGATATAACTACACTGCATCTTCAGAAAGGCAGAAACAGGCCTGATAGTGGCCAAGTATTAAGAGTCAAGGAGAAAATTGAAAATCTGTCTATCAAACTTCTTAACAGTTTACGTAAAGAAAGGATCGGCTTTGAGAAGTGCACCAGAGATAAGAAGAAATACAGATCGGTGTGTGAAAGTGTAAGATCCCGCTACCCCGATGTTTTGGTTATTCCTTATGATACTCATATTGATGTGATAGGGAGTTCTTCTGCAGTTTTTGAATTTACACAGGAAGTGAACAAAAAGGTTCAGAGCCCGTTTCAAAACAGGTAGAAAGATAGCATTCATGTTTGTTGCACATTGCGCTTGTAGCGAGCTGTTCTGGTGCAAACCTTCGTGTCACTTCAGGTCTGCTTCATTTCTCCTACATGCAGTCTGGGAATGCTGCGCATCAGGATGAAAAAGCCCATTCCTCCCCAGATACCAAATAAAGAGCAAGGAACAAATGATCTTTGTATCTCTGGTGAGCTTCAAGATGGAAGAAATGAAGTTTCTTCCGTCCAGACAGAGACACATTCTTCCTTTCACTTGCTGCATTCTGGCCACATGCACTCTTGTCTTGCTGTCGTGGAGCTTACGATGTGAAAAGAAGAATTTTTGAAGATTTTTCTTTAGCATAAGAAATGGTAACTGTAAAGCTGGGTGAACCAACCTGGTATGAAATCCTGCACAGAAATTCACGTGTTTCTTTGTGCAGGGAGATGACCACCAAAGATAGGACTGGTGGCTTGCTGCTGCTGCCCTTATCTGCAGAAGAAAGCTCTTGTTGAGATGCACAGAGTACTGTGCTTTAGTACTTGAGTACTTTAGTACTTGAGAAGATGGAATGCTTGATAGATCTGTAGGCTTCTCATGTCCTGAAAAAGGCCTTACAAGGTGGCGCCAGAAGTTCCTGAGAGAAGAAACTGAATTTGTCTTTGTAGGAGCAATAGCAGGTTTTTATCCAGTAGTAACAGCAGCTGCAAGCGTCCCTGGACAGCATGTTATTTAGACATGGAAGTATATCCATAATTTTGATGTAAAATCTTGGCACATTTAAACTTTTAAATCGTACCCTATTTATACAGTTCTTAGGCCCAATGTGGGAATAGTTTTTCTGATCCAAATCATCTAGTGGTGTAGATACACCAGATAGGAGCAGTCCCTTTTTTTTTCCTGTGCAGAACTGATAAGTTAATGCAATAACTAGTAGTTGTAACTGAGAACAGGAACACCTTTATCCTATTAATGCTTTCCAGTTGTGTTTTCCAGACCGTGTCAGAGGTTCAGACTGCGGAGATTTCTGCCATCTCCTGTAAGGACAGGGCAGCCTGATGAAGACTTAGTGTTAATTACTTTCTAAATTGAATGCCTTAGAACACTGAATATTTCTTTTGTTAGCAGCTGTACACATTTTCAGTTTTTGCTAGGTCGAGGTATGCATATAGTTTTAAAAAACATCCTTAAGTCTACTGTTTGGACTTGTGTCTGCCTTGCCCTTTGCTTTCATTTCTAGAGTTAAGTGCCTGGAGTTAAAACTGAGTGCTCACTACAGAATTCCATCTGATTCACGCGTTAAAATGGAGTGCTGTAAAAGTTCAGCCTCATTCACTGAGATTGGGGATCAAGGCAGTCCACAGGAACGTGACAGCTTAGAGCATGTGTTTTAAAGTTAAACCTTTTCCATGGAGATCCATTATTAGTCCAAATGTGCACCCTTTTGTGATCTTTTTAGAAAGCCAAGTTGAAAGTGTGTTTTGTGATTTCAGAATGTGCAGATTGCTAAGACTTGCAGACTAGTTCTTTTACAGGAAAATCTTATGAAATTGAATTTATGATCCTATTAAAGAAATGTGTTTCAAAATGCTTTGTGTTCTTTAAGCAACTCCTAGACTTTTAGTTGGAAGCTCATCATGCTTAAGGCATTTTCTTGTCGTGACTGATTACCCACTGCAGTTATGCCAACGAAAGATAAAAGTGGTTAAACTAGTACCAGTGCTGTGTTTTAAAATACACTGTCAAAGTGGGAGGATGATGAGCTGAAGTGATGTGCTGAACTGGGAGGGAGGAGTGCTAAAAGGCTTATATCTATGCCAGATTCCTGTGTAGCAGTAGTACATGCAGAGGCTGGAGGGGGGCAGGACAGAGTGCCCAGAGCCAGGTCTGGTAGGGCCCCTCCTGCTCCCCACTGACCAAACCTTGCCCTTTTTTAGTGCTCCCCACAGAGCTTAAGCAAGGATGGGATGTTTTTTGACCTCATAAAGGAGAGAATTCTCCATGAAGGTCAGAGCTTTAATGTAATGAGTTCTCTTTTCTAATGTCTGTGTTGACCTTCCATTCTCCTTTCTGCAGAGTCTCGGTGTTGGGGTTTTTGATTCCTAGAGTTTCCTATGCACTTGCAGGAATGCTTAGGGCTCATAAACCAGCAGCACTGATCTCAGTCAGAATACCAGCAGGTCAGGAAAGGGCTGAACTACATCCATTGAGTCAACTTTGACAGCAGCACTGGCAGAGGTACTGCTCACTCCTTGTTGTCTGGGTTTTAGGTCAAAACCTCAAAGTCCTTTAAAGACTGCAGTTGAATAAAACTTTTATTGCTGTTTTACAGCAGTTGTCACAGCTCCTTTTCAGATTCACTGGTCCATCAGCCCATTGTCAGCTGAGCATTCGGGCCACCAGGTGCACTGCCACCAGCACTGCCTTGTTTCCTGGGGTGTCTCATCTGCTGCCTCTGGTCCCATACCTGGATGTCATTTCTTTAGAGTAAATTGGGATGTGAGTCCATGGTGGACCAGCACATACCATCTATTGTTATGCTCCTGATCTCTGGGGCTGCTAGTTTAGGTGGGTTTTGCAGCAGCACTGCCTTGCAATACCTCACTTTTCTCATCTCTTCATCTCTAGTGGTTCCTTGTGGCCCAGCAAGGGCACAGCTCAAAGCAAGCATCCCACACAGGGTCAGTGCTGGTAGCCAAGGGGCTGTGCTGTGACTGCCTGAGCTGCTCTTTTAGATGTAACTCCACAGAGCAACCTTCTTTTTCAGCAGGTGAAAACATGCACTGTGGTCCACCAGGATAGACCCATGTTTGCTGTAAGATATAAACAGCGTTTCAGCAGAATAACCTTGTAAGTGAAATGTATTCCTTCCTTCCATCATAATGCAGTCACTGTGAAAAAAAAAAAAATAGATGTTCAGCAAAAAAAAAAAGAAAGTTTGATTTTTTCCTTAGTGTGGAGATATAAACAAATACAGCAAAGCAGACTGGTGTTAGGTCTGGTAAGAGGCTTGCCAGCTATTATTCTCACAGTCACTTTTTATGGCAAGCAAAGCACTGTTATAACTTGAGCTCCACTCAAAAAAGGGATTTAATATTTGTGTATATTGCAAAATATCTGGGAAAGCGTATCAGATGCAATTCCTGGATCTAAACCATCAGTGCTGACTCAGTATTCTCAGCACCAGATTTGCACTTTTAATTTGAAAAGAGAATTCACTCCTGGGACCTCAACAAAATATTTGTCCTTATTGCTGTGCCGACGCTTGCTGCCCTTTACCAGATGGGGAAATGTAACAGTTCATGGAGTAAAAAAATACAATGCCTAATTTTGTCTGAAGGCACAGTTCTCACTGACATTAAGACAAAGCCTTAACGATAAAATAAAATAAAATAAAATAAAATAAAATAAAATAAAATAAAATAAAATAAAATAATCAGCCAAAACAACCAGCAGAATCAGCCCTGTTCCTGGCAGGGCAGCACCGCACTGTGGTCAGTGGGTAACCGCCTTTTTGTGTTGTCTGGAAACCTGAGTGTTAGAGAGAGGATTTGACATCCCTTAGCAGGAAAATATTATACAATTTGGTGGAAAAGCAATCTCACTGCTGGCCTGAGGGGGTGGGGGAGGCAGACATGATTTACTGGAGTGCTTTTGCCATCGCTGATGCAAAGCTCTGGTGTGGCCCAGGGAGGACAAAGCCTCTGTTACTCCCCATTGTACCTGCACATGTAATAGTGCAGTGTGAAAGGTGCCTGCAAAGCATGTGGGAAGGGGGTTGGTTGGTATGTTGGAAGATCTTTCTTGCAGGTATAATTGTTGTCATCCAATCTGTCTCGGCAATGTTTGAATCGCATTGAAACTTCCTCTATGCATTTGTTCAAAAAAAAAGAATCCAACACCTACTACAAAAGACCTGTCATGCTTATTGAAAGGCTGCAATGCCAGAAAGACATTTTCTGACGGAAGAAGTGCTGCTTCGGGGAGACATCTTATTAAATACATACATATAGGTAGGAAAATTCAACGACTGATTCTTCAAGACGACTGTCAGCCTCGTCCATCTCCATCTGGCCACCCCGGAGACCCAGAAGCATGACACTTGTGATGAAAGCATGCCATGGCCATCAGCCAGGGGCGAGCTGGGGTGGTTGGTGAGTCAGTGTGGGGTGGATGGGGATGCACTCCCACTGGGACAGGAGGAGATGAGCTCGGCACTCTGTGCATCCGGAGGCGCTGAGGCTCTCACTTGGCTCTGGTCCGGCCCTCAGGAAGCTCCCACAAGCAAACACACACGTTCCTGTTTTGTTGTACATCTTGTGCAAGAGAGGAAAGCAGCTGTCGAGCAGGGCCAAGATAGCACTGAAAAAATTCCTCTCTGTTGCTCAACATTTCCGTGGTGATTTTGTCCATCGCATTCAGAGAGGCTGATGGGTGTTTACAGGATATGTGGCTTCTCTCCAAGCTATCACTGCTGACTGCTTGGCTACACACAGGAAAACATCTATGAGTGTGGCCCAATGTCATTCAAAATATCTCATTTTTTGGCGTTTGGGTTTTTACCCTTCAATCTGCCGCAGATGCTGACAAAAGGACCTTTTCCATCCCTCTCTTTAGTCAACACTGCACAACAACCTGGAGCTGCTGGAGCCCCGTCTGGTTGTACTTACTTTTTCCCTTTCAGAATGTCTGCTGGAAAACAAGTCTCTTTCTGCTTTGCCTTGCATAGCTTTCCTTCGTCTCCTGACACCCGTTAATGACCGTCAGAAAAACATCTCAGAGTAACTGAGTGAAGAAGGAGTACTGCCTCTAATGGCAGCAGCTGCCGCTGGATTTAAGCCATTTTTCAGGTGGATTTCCCCTCCCATCACTGCTACTGCCTGTTTAATGGCCGTAGTACAGAGCAGGACCAGCCAGGCCAAGTGCTTTACCCGAATAAAACATGGTATGAGATGCTGGAAAAACAAAGTTCTGCTCTCTTTGTGCAGCTCAGGGATGGAAAAGCCATCCCACATGGCTCTGCTGGTGCTGGGGCTGGCACTGCAGCCAGTGAGCAGCACTGGTGCACATCCACACGCTCAACTTGTACTTCAGACATGCTTTAGAAAGCTTTTTTTTAAAGCCTTTCATTTTGGTGTGGGTACCAGCAAATCTCTCCCAGCGTTACAGTAAAGCAACCTCTCTCTTTGGCGTTGCAAGCAGCCATGCCCTGTGTGCTGGGACTCTGCAGAAATCCATCTCTTTTAGCACCGTCTGGAGCTTCTCTTTATGAGCAGATTGCTCTTGCACGGATACAGCCAGTTCTTAACAACTGGAAAACTGTAATGCACACAGTAAACACCACCGAGAGCTCTTTTTTCCCCCTCTAAGTTACACGAGCACTTCCCCCACGAGCTGGGGGATTTGGCATTTCTCTTGGGTGTACTTTACATTTTCCAAACTTTCTGAATAACGCGTTGAGAGACTTAAGCATCTGCACTGCCAAACGAAATGAGAGAAGAAAGGTTCTGCGGGCTCATTAATGCCTGGCACTGACAGGCCTGGAGGGGCTGTGGGTGTATTTACATAGGGCAGAAACAGGCCTGCGGGGACGAGCTCTGCTATTTACATAGGGAAGAGGGCTTCCTTTGGGGGGGCTCATTTAAATGCAAGCGGCACAAGAGCTGACAGCAGCCTTCTTTCCATACAGCTCTATCTGTGCTTCCAGAAAGAGGCCTGAAAATGTGGTGCTTCGTGCTGTGTTTGGAGCTGCTTTGTTCAGGCAGGTGGGCGATGCCTCTGCTGGCAGAGCATCCACGGCCTTCCTTACTGTGCACAGTGTCCAGGTGAATGGCACTGATGGCAAATTTCAGATTTGCCCTGGATTCTGGCTGCTCTCTGTTAGCTCTGATGCCTGTCTCGCAGCTTTGGTGCTTCTCCTGGTCTTGCTCATGATGCGCAACCAGCATCATTGATGCTAGTGTGCAAAATAGCCCTTGTGCCTCTTGTTTGCACACAGTGCTTGCTGTGATCATGGACCAGTTAACACATCTGCTCGCCTAGCAGCCCTGTGCTCACAGAGATAACACAGCAACCTGGCTGGTCCCTTCCAGCTCTCTCAAGCAGGCGTCCCAGATGGACAACCACAGCTGAAACATAATTTAGTTCCTTTTAGACCATTTCAGGTGCCTGGAGCCTGTGATTGTTTCTGTATCTGATACAGACCTTTCCAATCAGGTGTGTATCAGATGTGCTCCTGCAGGGGCAAACGCTGCATGCTAAGAGCTGCATTGAGCTAAAATGCTAAAAACAAGCGTGCCAGAGGCTTTGCAGTGAGCTGCATCTGGCTGCCTTGACACCGCTGTCTGAGCTGATCTCAAATCCTCAGCTTCATGCCAGCTGACATTTATGCTGCTGCCTCTGCACCAGCCAGTCCCATCCATCACCCTCCCAGCTTTGCATGGCAAATGCAAGCAGCAGTAAATAAAGAATTCCATGGGTCTCAGCGCTAAAGAGTTAAGAAAGCATTGTGCTCTCCCCCAGGGGAGAGCCTATTGCAACTTGCAAACACTTGCTATCTGTTTCCAGGTGGTAATTAAAACAGCCACC